GAAATACTATGCTACATGCATTTAATATAAAGCACATGCAGTTTTTTCCTGTAGTTAAACAATTAGTTGCTCACTAAACACCTAAACTGAAAAATTTGCTTAATGCATATAATAGTATTAGCTGCTCAAAACCAAAAGCACTAAGAATAAGAAGGAAATTTTGCGAGCTGTTTGTTCATGATAATTATAAAATATACTAAAACCTTGCAATTAATTGCAGAAGCTGTAATTTTTTTTAAAATTGAAGTATCTGAGAAGTCCTGCTTTCAAACAAACCTATATAAAACATACACGCAAAATTACCACTTAAAATAAATAATCTGCCTTTACTATTTTGACTTTGATTCAGTTTTAAAATTGTTTTATTACTGGTTATCTAACAATATTTAGTACACACAAACAGACAGAAATTCATTACATAATGCACAAAAAATAGGCGGAGTCAGTTCTATATCTCCCGTTATACTGGGCTGATTGACGAAATTTAAATTGCATTTTTCATGTCTCGAAAGTGGAACTTAGGATACATATATAAGATTCAAATATAGCTTTGTTCTAACATAGGTATTTTAACACAAAATCGGACGTTTTCTGAAATAGCACACCTTTTTTTTTCCGCATTTCGATTCTACGACTTAAATTATGCCTAAATATTAAATTTTGTAAAATTTGGTGCAAAATTTATGGAAAATTCAAAAATTTTATCTTGCCAAAATTTTTTCAGTTTGCGCCAAGAACAATTTCCTTGGCGAACTTCTTAATACGTGACAACCAATTCTCCTTTCCCTTCCATTATGCCGGAGTGGGAAAAAGGGCACCTTGTTCCTACCTTTTTGCATTGTGCATGAGAGGAAAAAAAATCACATCATTTCTACTTCCAAATAATTTTAGCAAAGTGTCTAAACTACATTTGATGTTTTATCGCTTTGAACAAATACACCAAATTTCAAAAACACGTCAATACATAAATTCACGTATACATTTGAAAATTTTGAATAAAAAACTAATTATTTGAAGGTTTGCTTAGAAATACGTCTACTATAAGATGATGGTAAAAATTTCATGGACTACAATTCAAAACGTTTTTTGAAAAATACATAAAAATAATTTAAAAAATAAATCATAAAAAATGGGTGAATTTTTTGTTTGAAATGAACATGAATTTCGAAATGTGAAAGAAAGAATCAAATAAGTTTAATAAAAAAGGAGAGATTAATACAGTCAAAAGTCGTTAATCCGGACTCGTCGGGACTTTGGCGATTCCGGATTATAGATCATCAGTTTAAATCTCATAAGATGGCATGCAGAAATTCTAAAATTAAAAATATGAAACCGTAATTTATGATATAAAGAACAATTATGATCTAAAGGGTATCAAAATTTACAAAAAAAAAAAAGCTTAATATTTATTTGTTTACTTTATTAACCATTTCTTTCAATATAAGTTGTTTAATATGCTTCGTTTTTTTGTGCTAATACTTTCTCTTTAATTCTATAAACAGACATAATTTTTTGTTCAGTTACAAAGTTCCACTGTTCAAGTCCCGTAATTGCTGTGCCGAGAATACCGACTAACTTGTCAATCGAAATTTTTTCGTTTTCACTAACCTCTTTGTCCCCTTCTTCATGTCTTTATCCATTTTTTGCAGCAATTCCACTTTTTGTTTGATGGACATCGAAACATACTTTCGTTTTGTACAATCCTTTGGGAGCTCCAGAATCGGAAATTCTATTTGACATAATCGAAAGTTCAAGTTTACTTTTATAGTATTGCTCTTACAGTCTGCAAAAAATTATAAGCTCATCCAATTCGAAGATTAAGGAACAACGCAATCTGCAACATTAACTGAAATAGATAATTAGATAATTTTAGCTTATACCGTCCGTTATACATTAAACGCGTACGCGAAAACATATTCTGCGCTTGTGCACACGCATATGCACAGTCGTAAAGGTCTTACGTGCATGCGTAAACGCCTTTGCGCATGTGTCAACGCAGCACATGCGCAGAAAGTTTTTAGCTTTGCGGTCCGAATTATAGATCATTCCGGATTATGGGTGTCCGAATTAATGACTTTTGACTGTAAATATATACTAAGCTCAATTAAAATCGAGGAGCTAAATTTTGATAGCTAATTTTTTAAAAACTACTCATGCGATTTTTATAAAACTTGGTAGTTGGGCATAATTTGAGTCATAGAATTGGAATATGGAAAAAAATTGCTATGTTATTTCAGAAAAAGTCCCATTTGTGCCAAAATACCTATATTAGAACAGTGCTATATATAAATCTAATACATATCCTAAGTCACGCTTTCGAGACATGATAAATGTAAGTTGAATTTCGTCAATCAGCCCAGTAGAACGGAAGATATACGAGGGCTATCCAGAAAGTAGATTACGTTTTGGAATAAAAAAATAAACAAAGTATAGGAAACAAATTTTATTATATACAGATGAAAGCCACACTCAAATACTACTTTTCTACATAGTCACCATACAAATTAAGGCATTTATCGTAGCGATGTACGAGCTTGGAAATTCCTTCGTCGAAAAATTCGGCCGCCTGCGCCTTCAACCACTTCGTTACCTCTTCTTGCAGCTGTGCGTCGTCATCAAAACGCTGCATAGCCAGCCACTTCTTCATTGCTGGGAATAGGTGAAAGTCGCTCGGTGCCAGGTCGGGACTGTACGGCGGATGAGGAAACAACTCCCACTTAAAAGATTCAAGAACTTTACGAGTGACATTGCCGTGTGGGGCCGGGCGTTGTCGTGAATCAACAAGATCTTAGAGCTCAACATTCCTCTGCGCTTGTTTTGAATTGCTCTTCTGAGTTTTTGGAGAGTTTGGCAATACCTTTGAGAGTTTATTGTAGTGCCTCTTTCCAGGAAGTCCACCAAAATTACACCTTTTCTGTCCCAAAAAACAGTCGCCATCATCTTCCTTGCCGACATTGTTTGCATGCATTTCTTGGGTTTTTGGGGAGAACTTGTGTGCCCCCACTGCATTGATTGCAATTTCGTTTCACAGTTCACATGTTTCACCCATGTTTCGTCACCAGTAACGATGCGATCGAGTAAAGAGTCACCATCCTTATGGTAAGCGTCCAAAAAGTTCAACGCTGCAGCCATTCGCTGATTTTTGTGGTCCTCTGTCAAGATTTTTGGAATCCATCTTGCACAAAACTTGTGGTAACCAAGCTTTTCGCTGATGATTTCGTGCAACAAACTTCGCGAAATTTGTGGAAAACTCAAAGAAAGTTCCGTTATTGTGAAATTTCGATTTTCACGGACTTTAGCATCGACTTTTTCGAGAAGTTCGGCGGTCACTATGCTGGGTCTCCCACTTCGATCTTCGTCGTGAACATTGGTTCGGCCATTTTGAAATCTTATGACCCACTGACGCACTCCACCTTCAGTGATAATGTTGTCCCCATACACTTCACGAAGCTGCCGATAGATTTCTATCGGTTTACAGTTTTTTGCAGTCAGAAACCTTATTACTGAGCGCACCTCGCAGCTCGCGGGATTTTCAATTAACGCAGACATTTCAAACCGTCACAGTATCTGAACGGAGCACAGCACGAACCTCTCACTAGCACGGCTAGATGCAGACTGAGCTGCGCAACGCTCTGACCCCAAGATGGCCGCGCTAGCCCCGCCCCTAGCGGACACAGACGGAAACGTAATCTACTTCCTGGATGGCCCTCGTAGAACTGTTCCCCCTCCCTCCTTTCTTGCGCAGTGTACCTTCTTGTAATTTAATATCAGGTCCAGACACCAGCAACAATCTTCCCACTTCAGTCTACCACATAAGTGAAAATGAGATTTGGTCAATGTGGCATTTTAAACAAGTTGAAAATACTTTGGGGCTCTGGTTGAAAGAGGTCTACATGTTACAAACATGACCACTGATAAACTTAGAAAGAGCTGTATACTACTCTCTGCCATTCTGATATGCAATTGAAATACCAGTATAGTCATTGTGTATTAGCAATCAGAAAAGGGTCCTTTCTTAGAAATATTCCCATAAATTTTCTTAATGGTGAAGGTGTCTTGATAGTAAATAGTTAAGTTAGGTTATTTGATTATTGCCAAATACACATTGGCTATTTGCTTACGGTTGCCTTTGTGGAGGATTCATTTTAAAGAAACTGACTCATATTCACATTACATATGGGGAAAATCCTATAAAAAAATTTTAAAAAAAAACATACAGCCTACCCATTCACCCGAGATTGAACCTAGATTTAACTCAAAGTACTCAGCAGTTTTAGCCACTGATGGGGATCTACAGTAAATTGACAAGATGGAAATAATGGCTCTGCTATGCTGTTTTACCAATTTATGAATGATGGCATTATCTCTGAGGTCTACACTGGATGAAGTAAATATTATTGCAATTGAAGAATTTCTCAGGCTTATTTATGTGCCATGTCCTCTTTTGCCAATTTGCAAGTGCTGACATTGTCTCCGATGTCTAAATTGGATAAAATCTAGTGAAAATGATTATTACTGTGACTGGAAAGTTTCTTAAGCTCATTCATGATTTCTGGATTAGCTTTACCTCTTAATTTAACCAGTTGCTCAGATAGCGATACAGCTCTAACTGTATGATGATATTTAATATTTTTAATTATAACCCTGTTCCTACTGAAGATAACTGTACCTCTAAAGCTTAAAAAAGAAAATGGTAAATCTTATTTTGATTTATAAGAAATGTTTTATATTATATTTTGAAAATTTCAGAAACTAATGTTCCAATATAAATCATGTTAAGCATTAATTTCCTGAAAAAGGACATGAAAATACATAAGCAGTAGATAAAATTTTACACTTTAAACAAATTACGGTTGAATTTTCTAAACTTTAATTCCATTTTATTCTTCCAATATAAAACCATGTTCACATTTTAAGCTGAAAATCGTAAGTAAAAGGGAAATATAAATCAGGTTTCAAATATAAGTCACAGGAATTTACACAAAGCCATCCAAACTTACAGCATTAACATTCTTCTTCTTTACCAATTTGAAAATATCAACTGACACTCTGTAAAAAAATGAAAGGAGATGCTAAATATATAAACTTAGAAAGGAAGTAACATTATTAAAGTAAATTACAGCATACTATTATTTTAAGCAAATTTTGAAAGCTAACAAATTTTATTCTTAAATTTTCTACATATATTAAACACATTACACAGACCATTACAAAAAACTGGCATTCTAAACCACAGAGAAAACATTTAAATTCAACGTTCTGATTGTTTCTTGCTTATCATTAAATGCACAGCTCATAGTAGCAAAAAGACATCATTAGTTATTGATATAATAAATCTAAAAATTTTTACATTTTATTATGCTATTTATGATGACGCCTTTTACAAAATACATAACTGAAAATAAGAATGATCTCAGTTCTATTTAAAATCCATATACATACTAAAGAAATGTGTACAGGAAGAGATAAATATGATTGATGCATTAAAATTATATTATTAAAGTACTAAAATTTTTTTAAGCTGGACACGTATTACTTCAAATCCTTAATATCATACATAAGGCACTTTAAGGAATAAGTTAATACAGAGTAACCTCAATTATTTCTATTAAGAGTTGCTATTTATAATAATTTATTTCCAATTAAAAGAGATATAGTTTGGAATTTATGCATTGGTGCAACCACCTTAGAAGAAGTCAATATATTTTCACAATGTGCCAAACTCTAGCAACCCTGTACGTCAGAGTTTGAATAAGCAATGCATATGCATTCTTTCTTGTTGCATTCAAAGTTCCAACAATTTTTATATAAAAATCATTGTATTTTTTTACTTTAAACTTAATTTAAAAATATGCACTTGTATGTTTACACCACAATATAAGAATATGTAAATTTGTGCAAGTAAAATTTGTGCAATGTAAAATTTGTGCAAGACAGTATTTTGCTGCAAAATTCCTAGAGAACTTCTTTTATCTATTCATAAGCCATCAGATGGAATTTTCACTAGAACAAAAGAAAAATGTTACAGTAGTAAGTTTTCTCATTAAAAAAGCAAATAAATTTGTATGTAATATGCAAGCAAGCAATATTTTTTTGCAATTATAAATCATTCTTTTCCTTCTGTAAAAAACTGCTGAACTGCAGAGAGGTAGTTGCAAAAATACGTAAGCACCTATCATTTACCATTATAATTATATGAATAATTATGTAACAAAACAAACTTTTCACATTCCATCTGATGTTGCCTCATAGACCATATCTGACAAACAAATTAACTAAGATACAGTTCATACTGCTACCCATAACAGTATCTCACAAGTAATAGCTCTGTTTCCTAAATTGTCAGACTTTGTTGAAGTTAGCTTGTAGGTTAAAAACTGGGATTACCATGTTTTGAGAATAAGAATCCTGGACCACGAATGTTCGCAGGGAAGGCGAACAGGGTGTATGACCCTGCTGTGATGAAGCAAAAAAATGTGCTTTTGCTTTTGATGCATGTAAAGTACGACATAATGCATCCATTTTTGTACTGAGGCAATACTGTGTTCCACAGTTTACTTCGGAAGATCGAAGTTAAAAATTAAATAAAAGTTTTTTGATATAATAATTTGTCTTCAAGGCTCACTAACTCTCTTGAAATTTTTTGCAGATGCCCAAGTAGAGGATATTTTATAAAATATTCATTTCTGTAATTTAGAAAGCCTATAACATGTATGCATGACATACAGCCTATCTGACTGATAAAAATATGGTACAAAGGATTAAAGGGAAATCCTGCAGCAAGAACAAAAAAATATTCAAAATATTGTAAAGCACCTTTTGCAGCACGTTTATCCTGAAAAGATAAGAACGACTAGGAATCGTGTTTCTGTTCCAATCTTGCACATTTTTTACTATTAAAATTTTTCATTATTCCCTTAAAAACTTATTGTTACATTTACACTGAAGTGACAAAAGTCATGGGATACCTCCTAATATTTTGTCAGTCCTCCTTTCGCCCAGCGAAATGCAGCAACTCTACGTGGCATGGACTCAACAAGTCGTTGGAAGTCCCCTGCAGGTATATTGAGCCATGCTGCCTCTATAGACGTCCATTATTGCGAAAGTGTTGATGGTACAGGGTTTTGGGCACGAACTGACCTCTCGATGATGTCCCATAAATGTTCGATGGGATTCATGTTGGGCGATCTAGGTGGCCAGATCATTCGCTGGAATTGTCCAGAATGTTCTTCTAACCAATCGCAAACTTGTGGCCTGGTAACATGGCGCATTGTCATCCATAAAAATCCCATCGTTGTTTGAGTACGTGAAGTCCATGAATGGCTGTAAGTGATCTCCAAGTAGCTGAAGGTATCCATTTCCAGTCAATGATCGGTTCAGTTGCACCAGAGGACCGAGTCCATGCCATGTAAAAACAGCCCAGACCATTATGGAACCACCACCAGCTTGAACAGTGCCTTGTTGACAACTTGGTCCATGGCTTCGTGGCTTCGAACCCTACTATCAGCTCTTACCAACTGAAATCGTGACTCATCTGACCAAGCCACGGTTTTCCATTCATTTAAGGACCAACCGATATGCTCATGAACCCATCAGAGTCGCTGCAAGCGATGCCGTGCTGTCAGTAAAGGCACTCGAGTCGGTCTTCTGCTGGCATAGCCCAAGGAAGACAAATTTTGCTGCACTGTCCTATCGGACACGTCCCTCGTACGTCCCACATTGATTTCTGTGGTTATTTGACACAGTGTTGCTTCTCTGTGAACATTGACAACTCTACGCAGACGTCGCTGGTCTCAGTCGTTAAGTGCAGGTGGTCGGCCACCTGTGCTGTCCATGGTGGGATATTATGCCTGAAATTACATACTCTCGGCACACTCTTGACACTGTGGATCTCGGAATGTTGAATTCCCTTAATGATATTCTGAAATGGAATGAGCCCATGCGTCTCAGCTCCAACTACCATTCCGCTTTCAAAGTCTGTTAATTCTCGTCGTGCATGCGGCCATAATCACGTCAGAAACCTCTTTCACATGAATTAACTTGAACACAAATGAAAGCCCTTGCCAAAGCGCTTCGCCCATTTGCATACATTTTCTACGTGATACTACTGCCGTCTGTATATTTGCATATTGCTATCCCATGACTTTTGTCACTTCAGTGTAATGTTTATAAAAATAACTAACTAAATCAGGGTTCATAGCCACATTTTAGTAAAAAAAATAAGCACCTATAAGCACTTTTCAAGCACATTTTAAGGAAAAAATAAGCACCTGTCTAATTACATTATACACAACTGCATAACCTTAAAAGAAAAATTAGACTTGTAATTAAAATTTAAAATATGAGCAATGCAATATTTATTAAGAGAATGAGCATTACCTCAACAATGGAAAACAATTAACTTTTTTTATATAAAAAATTTAAATGACAGTTTAATTTACAGAATTAGTTTACAATGAGAGGGAAAAAAACTATGCAGAACTAAACTATATTACAAAATTTCAATGATGATATTTCAGTTGAAAAATAGAAAATAATAATAATAAGCCATATTAATTGTATTCGTTTGGCACCTAATAATAAATACAATTTATTTTTTCACTCATATTAATATTTAAATAATTTAACTTAAATCAAAATTCTGAACATTTTCTAAATTTTCATTGCATAACAGTTTTCCCTTAACATATATCCCAAGCAAAGTAATTTAAGTAAAAAAGAGGCACATTTCTGAAATCAGAAGACGGGAAATTGCTTCATTCAGTCATCCTTTAACAGTAAAAGCTTAACTAACCAGCATACTCGGAAATTCCCGAATTTTCCGGATAGTAACTGGAAAAAGAGGAGTGAGGGAGATTGTAGCCGTTCTTTAGATTTAAATTTAGGCTAAATAAATGATTTTGACATTTCGATCTGTGCATCATATAAAAACCAACGGAACTGAGAAATATTCTGCTTAGAAAGCACAGTTAAAACTGTTTTAAGTGTTCATAAACAAATCTCAGGACTGAACATCAAAATTAATAATCTCAATGCAAAATACCGCAAACGTTATTGCCACAATACGTGCGCTTAATTCTTCCATATGTGATATTATCGCAATCGGAATCAACAGCCTGCCGGTATTTGGAGAATAAAGAACTAAATAAGGAAAAGAAAGAGAGAGATTTACTAATCTGGAGGTGTTTCTGATTCTAATTTTCAACAGAATGCGTATAAATTTCCGGAATAGAATCAATCTTCACTTGGGTTGGGTAGACACCGCAAAAACTTTTAGTTCCTATTCAATCCAGATTGGACAGTGACCCCCCCCAAAAAAAGTCCGCTTGCTTCAATATTAGAGATTTTGCGGAGAAACTCCCAACCTCCGTACTGTATAATGTATTGGCAAAGAAAACGAAATTATTTTGACTATTTGATTACTTTCCTTTTATTTAAGGCATTCCGAAAATTATTCCTTAGAAAGCTAATCTGTGTAAAAACACACCCATTTTTGGAAGTTTATCTGTACTTCAGCAGTTACTGCAATTATATTATTATAAATATTCATACATATACTCATAATATAAGCATAACGATCATAATAACACGAATATGAACTGACCACGCGGAACGAGAATGCAAATTTATTAAAATGTTGATAGAAATTCAAACGTGTGTAGTATTTGGGTAGGAGGAAAAGAATACCGAATGTACCGGAATTTTCTACGTTTTCACAATTCTTTTGCCAATAGAATGACGTGCACCTGTCTGTACTCTCGCGTGTACCATACGTTACGTTAATGCAGAGGAAGGGGGGAAAGCAATTTTCGGGAGTATGATTCACCATCTGACGTTGCATATAAGGAAGAAAAGTTGTTTATTTAGTTTCGGCTTTGGTACGGGAAAAAAATGCGCATTCATTAAAAACAAAGCATTAAAAAAAAGCACTAAAAGCAAAAAATAAGCACTAAAAACAAAAAAATAAAGGCTTTAAAGAAAAAGTAAGCACCTATAAGGGCCTTTATATTTTATTTTCAAATATAAAGACTTATAAGCACTTGTAAGGACCGCTACGAACCCTGTAAATATTTCGAATTCACTTTCGGACTTAAAAATTTCTTTATTACCAACAACTATAATCAACCTCTTTCTAGATATAACTTCTGTATCCCAAAAGAGGTCTCTTTCACCAGAAACATCCAATTTACTTACGGAGAAAACCTTGTTTTATTCTGTTGCTAAGTACAGCTGATGTATTTTAGCAGCAGAACTTATTAATTGGATGGATTGTCAATCTCATTTAAAATTCTGGGCACAGTCCCGTACATTATTCCAAATCCCAGACTGCCCAGGCTATTTCTACACAACTAGTAATCCTAGTTATAAAGTGATTGTACAGTTTTCTCATTTCACATTATGCAATTAATTAAATTTGAAACAAACTGCATCAAATGTGCTCATTCAGTCAGTTCTTCAGTTGACATTTATTAATGAATGCAAAAAGATAATTATTTCCTTAGTTAAAATCATCATTCTTTAACAGAATTCCTTAATAAAAAAAAAATTTAAAAAAAACCTATCTTTAACATAACAGTAAAGATAAACTATGTCAACTGCTATTACCAATCGAAATTTTGAAATATACATGAAATTAAAACCAACTGTAGCATTTCACTTATTAGTACAATGATCTTTTAAAAGTGAAGAAATTACCTACAGCAAACCCTCTTTAAAGCAATGACTCATAGATCCACATAATTCTGGTCTCTAATGGAGATGATAATTTCAGAGATGGTGATTATCAATGATAGTGGATATCATTTTGCGTAATGGATTTACATTATTCAAGTCTTAGTTTTTTTTTTTTAAATAATTCTGAAGAAGTGTCATGTTAAAATCATTATGTTAAAAATACTATGAATTTATTGCATAGCAAAGTAGCAAATAACTTAGCACAACAACAAAACAAAGAGAACAAAAATTCTCCTCCAATTCTTAATCGCAGTAAGCTCCAATTCTTATACTACTTTAAAATATAAAATGCATAAACTTACGCATAGCAAAACAATTATAAAAACCTCATATTATAAATTTTATTTAGTGCTTCAAAAACACCCACTTTTATTAAAATATTCATCTAATGAAGAATGTCACTTAATTTTCACTTTTGATTCAGCTAAACACAACTTGAACTTCATAAAGTTCATCAATCATCTCATTATTACCTAAAATACAGTCTAATTGCTTTAACTTCTTTACTGCATTTAGAACTACATATAAGGAAACACATGGGATATCTTCCGTTTCCAGCAAAACTGTTTCTGCTTCTTCAGAAGTAGAAGCATTGATGTGCATTTCAAGAATGTCTTTCTCCTTCAGCTTGAAAACCCTCAACACTATGAAGTTTGCATCAATGTGCATTTTAAACTATTGACCTAACTACAACTTTATTTCTCTAACAAATAAATTTTCTCAATACTTTCATTTGGGGTAATCACCATTTTTTAAAAGTATTTCTTAACCATATACTCCTTCACATTATCCCATGCTCCTTTCATGTATTCAAATACATCAAAGAAATTTTCTTAATCAATTCATCTTTATTTTGTACTGAACTGAAATATTTATTATTAATAATGAATAATGATTCATTAATAATGAACTATTATTCGTGACAGAGAGATTCATTATTGATGAATCATTCATTACTAATAAACTAGCAATTCAATAACAATGACATATTCACTAGCAAAAGTGTTTCTTTATTGGCTAAAGCATTCACATCTACATTACAATTTATCTTTTTACTCTTTTAGCACTATGAACATTAGAATATTTGAAAATGAGCGATTTGGTAGGCAGTGAGATAACAAAAACCCATCTCATCGACAAATAATCTTGATATTATTTTTTAACAATGGCAATTGTTGCAAACAATATATCGCATCATTTTTAGTGGTGGATTTATGTTCAGAGCATTTTTCGTTTCTCAATTTCAATCACATAATATCATGCTTAAAATGCTTCTATCAAGCATACATAATGACATTGAATAACATCTTTTGGCACTTACGGAAAATCCCATCGACCACAATAGACGGCACCAATCGCGCCAAACCAAAAAAAAACTCATTTACTAAATACAATAAAAAATGTTCTATTCTTATTTTTCTTTCAAATTTATTATATTATCATTTATTTATATTTAATTTTTCATTAAAAATTTCTTTTATTTTTTATTAAGGATATATACTGTAAAAGCAATTATTTTCGCTAGGCGCCATTTCATGGGCATTAATACATTTTTTTGAGGCAGGTAAGATTCCATAACTTTGGAAATATTCAACACCATGCTCTTTTGTAGTAGGCAGGTCCCAAATGTTATTTTTATTTATTTATTTATTTATTTTTGAAAATGAGTGATAGAGGGGGGAAAGCAGTCTTTGCTCAAGAATAACTAACACGTGTAATCAAGGTTACACCAAACCCAGCATGTTTGAAGAAGACTTTTTCATTTTTGGTGAAAAACTGCATATTTTGTAGTCTTTTCTTTTACCCTTTGACGCACGCGATATTATTTTAATATTTTTTTAACTAAAAACTCTAGAAATTGAATATTACGATACTAGAGACAAATAATATATGAATTTAAAAAAAATCTACTCTTGCCCATTGTTCTGTGGGTGGTGGTCGTACTAAGACCTAAAACATATATGATTCTGCAGTCATTTCGTGTTATTTAGGGGTAAAAGATCAGTAATCAATTGATTTCCTTGCAAAAATTTCGAAAATTGGTAGTTTCAGAGTGCAACCACCGCATGTCAAAGGGTTAACAGGCAAAAATGGTAGACAGAATTTTCCGTCAGTACCCATCTTTTAAATAGATTTAAATTCAATCCCTCAGTTACCTTGTATTATTATTACATGCTATTTTTTCCCATATTTCAATTCTACAACTCGAATTATGCCAAACTGCCACGTTTTTGTAAAAATCGCCATAGTAGTTTTTAAAAAAATTAGCTCTCAAACTTTTAGCTCCACAATGATAATTGAATTTGATATATCTTTATTAGTATCTCTTTTTTTAATTAAACTTAATTGATTCTTCCTTTCATATTTCAAAATTTAGGTTCATTGCAAATAAAAACCGCCAATTTTTTTATTTATTTTTAAAATTTGTATTTTTTAAATAGTTTTTATAAATTTTTTGAAAAGAATTTTGCATTGTAACCTATAAAACTTTTGCCATCATCTTAAAGTAGATACATTTCTATGCATACATGGAAAAAAAATAGTTTTTTAATTCAAAATTTCCTAAGATATATGTGAGTTTACATTTTGACACGTTTTGAAATTTGGCATATTTATTATAAGCGACAATAACGAAAATGTGGTGTACACACTTTGCTAAAATTATTTGAAAGTATGAACAAATACTTTTTTTCCTGCTCATGCACAAAGAAAAAAGGCAAAGGAAAATAGGTTGCTACAAATTAAGAAGTTCGCCAAATGAATTATTCTTGGCACAAACTGAAAAAAAATTTGTCAAGATAAATTTTTAAATTTCTCTATAAATTTCTCACCAAAAATTAGAAAATTTAACATCTAGGCATAATTTGAGTCGTAGAATCGAAATATGGAAAGAATTGATATATTTTTCAGAAAAAGTTTGATTTTGTGTCAAAATACCTATGTTAGAACAATTCTCTCTATATAAATCCAATATATATCCTATGTCGTGTTTTTGACGCATGGAAAATGCAATTTGAATTCTGTCAATCGGCAAAGTAAAACAGGAGATATAGAACAGTTCCTACCCCCTTTTTTTGCACAGTACACATTCAGAAAAAGAAAGTGAAAGCACAAATGAGTAAAAAAAGGTTTAAAATAAAAATCCACACCTTCCAAGAAAATCATCTTTACTACTTTGATCTTCATCCATGACCTCAATATCAATATTTTGTCCAACAAACTGATCAATTATTGGCTGAAACAAAATATCTTCCATCAGTTAAGTAACAAAAAGAAAGACGATAAAATATTTCTAATTAATACTTTCCAGCTAAACATTTTAAATAGCAAACTTACAGACAAGTTGAAAAACATTTTCAGAAAAAATTTCAATAGTGAAACAGCATTTATGTAACAAATTTTAGCATCAGTAATTACAGATTTACAACATATGATTTTAAAAATACAAAAATGCATTTTCCTGAACACAATCAGTAATTCAAACCAATCTGAAAAAAATCTCAAAACTTTCAGATTTTATATTACGCCCAAACAGGCTATTTTTTAACATTTTGTGGGTTACTTTCATTTACTACATATCATGTTCTTTGCACTTAAACCACATAAAATTCAATTTGACAGCAATAATACAAAATAATTAAATACGGCATATCTTTAGAATTCCTGACAGACAGTCTTGTGGGTTGGGGATAAAAATTTTAGTAGAGAGTTGCCATTGCTCGCTTTGAAATCACTGAGTTTGTTAATCAAAAATTCGTAACAGTTTAACAAAATCTGAAATAGATAATAAAACAAATACGAAATTCAAGCTTCCAGATGTTCCAAAGTCTCACAATGTTCAGAGGAATGAAACATGTTATTCATCACTCAATAATCAACCTAGTTTGGTGTTTCAAATACTCACCCCTTGGGAAGTTCTGTTTGAAACATTAACTAGAGGAGATTAATATTTTGATTTTTTTCATTGCTTTTTATATTAATTTTTTCATTGCTACTATTATGGTTACTTTAATTTTAAATATTACACCATTGTTATAAAAAGTACCAACTTCCCATTAAAAAAACTTAAGAAGATTGCTTTTAAAGATCACACCATTGTCATAAAAATTACCAATTTCCCATATAAAAAACTTAACTTGAGAGGATTGCTTGGATTGCAATCTACATGTTGCTACAGAATTTTGTCAAATTTTATTTTTGATAACAGAAAACAGTGTACAAACTGAAAAATTTGAAAGAAAGTTTACACTGGTAATATATAAAACATGGTATTAGAAATATCTTTAATTATACTAAATGTTATAATACTTCATAGAAACTGTTAACAAACACTAGGATGAAATATGTATTTTTTAAAATGACTCATTTTGTTAGGCAATTAGTCTGTTATAATTTGGAAAATAAAAGAATAATATTTATTATGTCTGATGGACTGAAAGCAGATTTGTCCCTGACTGAATTTCTTTTGTAAAATGAAAACAATAACAGCTTCATAGTAGAGGGCAGTCTTGTGGAACAATTAACCTTTTGAGGCTGGGGCTTTGGTAGCAGTAAAAGCCTTGAAAGGACGGGGAATCTTGAACTGAATGCTTTCCCCCCCTTTAAGAAATCACCTGCTATTTGTAACAAAGATTCTTGTGTGTAGTTTAATGGATTCTCAAAGGGGTGCATCTATGTCGCAAAAGGAAGGTAAGTGTAGGGATTAGTGACCAGACTTCAAGACGCTTTTCGCCACTGAGGGAAAATTTCATTTTACAGTTGTTCTGGATTGAGAATACTGGGAAATGTGTAAACCTCCACTGAAGAAAATGCCATTCTTTATATCATAGGACATTACTTTCGTTTTTATAAAATTTTGGTTTGAATTTTAAATTACACTGCAAAACTATGTGTCTTTACCAAGTGCTTACAATAATTATTTCTATTGTATCTTTATATATTAATATTATGTAAAAAAAAAAAATAGTTCAACTATTTGATTATTTCCTTGGACAATTTAAAATTTAACCAGTCTTCATCTGAATCTTTTTTTTTTTTTTACTGTTAAATCTCCTTATAATTTTTAATTTGTTTTGGTATATATTATCAAATATAGCTATATCTTTGAATTTTCTTCCATACAGGGAATAATTAAAAAATAAACGCTTAAAGATACAGAAATGATTAAAAATTAAAGTTCAGTGGAACTGTTAAAATTATGCTCTATAGGCGTAATGAAATTTAAATTTTACATAATTGTTCAAAATCTGCTTGATAACATACTGTTTAAGGAGGAAACTTTCAGCAAATTAGAATATAACTATTTTAATTTAAAATAATTTTATTTTATTGTAGACTGTTAGTACTGCAATGTCCAATTACGTAAATGCTACTAATTAAAATTCATTTCTTTTCCAAAATTAATGCATAATATAACAGATGCTCAAAAACTGTTTTTTAGAATATTTTAGTTTTAAAAATTTGAAAAAAAGATTATTTAATCATGTACCGTTTTATATCGTTTATTAAAAATTAGTAAGTGATGCGTTTCAAATATTAACAATAAAATTAATTTAAGTCATTAAAAATGTCAAATTTAATGCAAACCCATAATTCAAAACGTAAATTCCATGTCTTTCCCCCCCCATTTGTCTAAAACTAAATTCCCAGCCTCACTAAGGGAACATGTTCACTTGGGTATCAAAATTTAGGTAATTTCTTAATGCAAAGGGTTTTTCAAATTGAAAGGAAAATTGTTTGTAATGCATAGTGTCTGGAAAAACTGTGGGACAAAAGTTACAAGATAATTAGTTATTGTCTTCAATACTGTATTATGTTATTCTATATTATGCTACATAATTTAGCACATTAAGAGAAATTTCCAGATAATTTCAGGTGCCTGGTCAGCAAAATTCTCTCCTGTTTGAAATCGTCATCCCATGTGAATTTTTCTATTTCCTCTATTGTTTAAACCCGTTCGTTTTAACTCCACACTGTCTTTATAACAGCTTTGATATCAACCATGGTGGCATATTTTATATGGTAGAATTTAAATTCTATGATATATTAACGAGTATCTTTACTTGCTGTTACTCAAAAAAGCTTCATTGTCCGGTCATGCGAAATCTATAGCAACAAAGTTGAATTAACTGTTTTTATCTTTTTTATTGAAAATTTGGCAGTTATTCATTGGTTTCATTAACACCTCGGTCATTATGCTGTCGTATCGAAACTATTTCATAACTGAGTACCCAAGGTACGTAGTCCTTGAACATAGTTGCTGAGATATATATCTAGTGAATGACAAAGGCATTCAATCACTTAAAAGGTCAATGTTCAGAAATTCAGATGGGAAACATGCGTTGTCTTAGAACAATGATTTGTACATTATTTGAGAGCTTTTACATCCTGTTTGTATTCTCGAAGCTCAACGAACAGTGAAATTTCACAAATGCTACTCTAATCCATTCTGAACATCTTACTACAAAATTACTTGACCGTGAAATCGAGACACTGATACGGAGGTACCTTTTAAAATAACATTACATCAGTACATCTGGAATCTAATGGCTAGAGATGAACTTTTAAACTGATTGACTAGTTTTAGTGTAGTTACGATTTCCAGGTTTCAGACTGAAATTTTAAGACTACTGTTGTTTCTTTGACTCAAAATTTATATTTATGTTCTTGTGATTTGTCTTCAATAACAGTACCATCACAGTAAACTTCCGTGTGTAAAGGTCACTTCAGCATAAACAGATATATATGGAAATAAAGACAGAACTGTTAAGAATGAACTGATAAGAATGTAAAAAAAATTGCTTGTACATGTATACAAGTATATGGGAATTTATATTTGTTAATGGAAATGTATACCTACATATCCATGTAGTATGTATGTCTGAACTGAAATAATATGGTATAAGTGCAGATATGCACTTAAAGCGGAAAGCATGCGTACCCTTAAATGAGAATAACGTATATACAGACGCGTACATGTACACACACAGGCACACATATGCATTTATATATGTGGATTTATGCATATGTGTATAAACGTACAGATATATGTATGTGTATATATTTCATCATCAAGCTCTTGAAGAAGTTTTCGTATTTCTTCTTCAGTCAGACCTCTTTTCCTTTTCTGCATATTTGCTAGAAAAATGTCAAAATAATTCCTAAAAAACTTATGAAAATATGCAATATCCTAAAGCAACGCAAGGCTCTGTTTACAATTTACAAACGCAGTTATCGCGAATTCTGTAGCTATGTAGCTACAAGAACTAAAAGGGAAAAATTGAGAAAAACCGAATTCTTAACACAAAGACCTTTGAAAGAGATACGTGGTTAAAACCCCAGGGACATCAAATTTGACATTTCACCTCACTACAATCCTGTCTTTTTAAACAGAGGACTCTATGGTCACTACAATGGCCATCCCATCTTCAAAAGGTTAATGTCAGAATCCTATTAATTATTTTCAATAGTACACTATACACTTTGGAAATTCCTTAGATATTTGACTCCTTTTAATTTCTAGAATTCTACTGTATCAGGATTCTACTGTATCAAGTCAAGATCTTCATCTCTTGTAACGGTCCTGTTAACACTGGCAAAGCTTGATTGTTTAAAAATAAATTTAACTTCATGCATCATTATCTAACAAGTTCTTTGAAAGAAAGTGTAAGTGAAAATCCTTGGCCACGAAATATATGCCAAATTTTAGGATTTATCTGTCGAGATGTTCCCTAAATTTTAATTATGCCATCCTTCCTTTGATGAAATAACTTATACTATGTGATGTACAAAATAATATTAAAATATTCAACCAGAACCGTCACACTGTAAGAATAACTAAAGAGACAAAATTTATTTTAACAAATCTTTATATAAAATATTACATGATCCCTAATATTTGCAGACTATTTTAACTGCTTGCCAAATTATCCTGGGTTATCTTGGGTTTGTATATATTGCAGTTAATTATTATCCCGAGAAAACTCAGGCGAAGCACAATTTGTCAGTACGATTTGTTTTATCATGGTTTTACTCAGCCTGGAGGAAATGAAAGGAAATATTCAGCTTGATGGGCAGTTTGTCAAGTTTTGTTGGTTTCGTAGTTCTTTTGGCAGGACTGGTCACATTTTTTCCTTTATTGTATAGTATACGTCAACTTGTGGATTAGTAATGCATAAAGGAGGACAGTTGCATTGAAAATTGACAGTTGAAAAGTAAAATAATGCCAATGATGCAAGATAGCGAAAGCGATGATTTTTTACATAATGATTATGAAGAGGAGGACATTTTCCAGATGTTATTCCTGCTACTGAAAAAAAAATCAAATACAATGAGACAGTGTACTGTGCTCTCATAAGATTCCAGGGGTAAGGCAGTAAGAAAAGAAACCAGTTACCACTGTATAGAATGTCAGGTATCACTTTGTGTTGTCCCTTGTTTCAAAAATTATCATACAAAGACTGACATTACACTTTTTTCATTTGCCCGAGATAACTCGGGATAGTAAACTAATATTAAAACTAAATGCTTTTACACCTGTAAAAAAAGGAAAAATCCAGCTTAAAATATTTTGTTTATTTACACATTTTTTTTGTTGTTGTTGTTGTTGTTGTTGTGTTTGTTGTGTTTCTAAAATTTCATTATACAAATATTAAAATTATTAAATACAAATTATAAAATTATTAATAAAATTATAATATTATAAAATTATTAAATACAAATTTAGTAATAAAATTAACAAATGGGATGATTTTTTTTGCAGTTTTTCCAAAAAATTTTCTAAGGGAGGCAGTTAAATCCATTTCAGTTTTGCTTAATTTCAATGCATTCAATGAAGTGCTGACCTAATATATAATGAGATTATTCAGAAAATATAAGTATAATTTGAGCATTCTCTTTCTATGATTAAGTTCTATCAATTACCCCAAAGTAAGTATCACTTCAGTAGTCAAAATTTTATGTAGAATAGTTCAAAATTAGTAACTGAGGCAGTTTTAAATATATCCCTAACGCACTCTGAAAAAATGTTGAATGATCTTTCTACGTTCTCGCATAACCCTTCTGAATATTTATTAATAGTACTTAGTCAAATAATTTATCATTTCAATTATAGTTAGCAGTGAGCCAAGCATTGCGCTTGAGAAATTTTTCATTGAATCTACTGATTTGTTATGGTTTCCAGACTCTACAGATGGCTATTGAAAGCATTCAATGTTTTGTCCTAAATTGCTTGAGGCAGGGGGGTATCTACATACAAAACCTGTTCAACTCTACAGATGACACACAGGCGTGAAATAATTTGCTTATGCAATGACGCTACCAAAACCTTTAGGTTTGCAAAGTACTTGAATATAATTGATGTATATGCACATTTTGTGTTGTAGGAATAAAATTTTGATGAATTGTGTCATGGAGAATCTGTAAATGTTACTATGTTTCCTGAGGTAAAAAATTAACCTTTTTAATGCAGAAGAATTAAATGTTTCCCCAAATTAAAAACTGACTATTTGCCCAAATGGAGTTGTGGCGCCTTCCATTTTTCAGTATTGATACTAATCGAAAAAACGCTAAAAAAGTTATATTCAGCAACCATTTAATTATAATATGATAAAGTGCATGCCATTTTTTTTAAGTCTGCAGAATTTTGAGGATGCATTCTATGTCGCAGTAGAATTTTCAGTACTTCACTGCATTTATTTTTATGTGATAATACACTGCTAAATTTGCTTATGTCGAAAGACCAGGCAGATATTTGTCAATAAACCGCCTTAACATGCATGAAAGAAGAATATCACTTTTAACAAGCATTATATTAATGATGATAATTAATTAATGCCACTGTGATGTTGAAGATCACCATTTAAAAAATTCATAATCAAACCTTAATTTCTATATCCATAATATTCCTTAATCACATGGTCATGGAAATTTTCACACATTTAGAACAATCACTACATGCTACAGGCAAATTACTGAGGAATTAAAAATATATATTAGTTTCCATAATTTTCAATTACAATACATGCGATAAAAATTAACTGAAAATAAAACTTAAGCAAAATTTTAAAAAATGTACCAATATAACCAAATTTCATTTTAAAAATAAATAAGGAATACATTAACCATTTTGACAACTAATAAAGTTTATAATAACAGTTTACACAGTAGTAGATGTGGTATAGTTTCTTTAATTAGCCTAAATTAATTAAAGACAATTACCTCACAGATGAAATTCCATTTGGGAAATATAGTGTTTTTTATAACAGGAGTCCTGAATTCTTGAATTCCAACTGAAATAAAATATGAGCATTTTATGCAGAAAATATTCACAAAGGCCTTTTTGTGCGTTTGTGTGTGTGTGTGTGACAGACTGCATGCATATTTCTAAAAACTGATATATTGAACAATTTTAAGCTTAAATACTTTTGAACTTTAATTCAATAATCAATACAATATTTAGTTACTTTTAAAATTTTATTTCATTTATTTAAAAAATTTTTAAATTAGCTTTTTTCTAAATTTAGTCATTTTAAAAATTTTATCAGCACAATTTATTACATTATCCAAGCATTTATTTTCTTACAGAAATAGACATACGAGAGTTTTTCTTCACATACATACTCATTACTATGCATTATTTTATTACAGAAGCACTACATGTGTAATAATCTAAAACTTTTGAGCCATTTTCATAATACAGCAATTTCATATTGAAAGAGTATAAATAAAATTCACTCAAAACAACACAATTACCTGACTTACAACAACTGATTTCAAGTTTAATTAAATTTTTAAACTACAAACTTTAAACCGCTAGCAAGTAAAATCAAGCAATTCACATTAAAGATTTTGTACAAAAAAGCATACCTGATATTATACAATATGGATCTGATTTGCCCATTCCCAGAACACCAACATCAGCTTTAACTAAATCACGTCCCTCTACAATGTGAAGTCGGAGGACACCCTATAAGAAATCACAATAAGAAAATTTTAATAAAATTCTTATTTTTTAAAAAAATTCATAAAATACTCAATGGAAACTTATTATATTAGCTATCTGAGGCCTAGTTGGAAAAAAAAAAAAAAAAAGACAATTCAAGCTCTCAAGAAATAATACTGCAGTGAGCTGGTTATTTCTAAAAGAAAATCTAAATGTAAAATTTAATGTCACTCTTTTATAACCAATGAAATCTTACAACAGAATAAAACCATGAATCATATTCATAAAACTGGACATAATAATAATGACACTGAACTTACAATGTCATCATCCAATAGAAAGCATCCACAGTAGAACAGGTAGTCTAATTCAAGATACGTACAGCAAGTTTCAACAAGTGGACACACTAGAAATTTAAAAATCAAGAGATACTCCTAGGCAGTGACCTAGGGCCTTAAAAGCATTAAATATTCAAAGTTTCACAAGTTTTGATCTCAAACTACAAGCCTTTTGTTTGATATTAAACTTAATTACTTGCTGAGATGTCTGCAATGGAAGAAATTCAAAATGTCAAAATACTGAGGAAAGATTTATTTTACATTACAAACATTTCAGATGATTGATTGGCTAATTAATCGAGATAAAACATTTATGGAATACCTGCATCTGCTAAAGTATGCTTTTCTAGAGCTTTCTAACAGAAAGATGCTCATAAGCGTTGTAGATAATAACAAAAACACATAAAGCAGCAATCCACTCCATGGCTAAATGTGGCTCTAAATTACCAGAGTTTTATAATTTCCTCTAACTTTTTCATAGCTAGTTTACCTTTTTAAATATTTTGATCAATTACACTAATAACAGGTCATCTGCATTATAATCTCCTGTGAAAATCCAAACATTAGAGAAAATAAGTATTAAAAAAAGCTGTCAATGATTTATGATATTTTCTCTAATTATATACAGATAACAAATTGCATATATATAAGCTATTCCATGATAAAATACCATCAAGAGTACTGATATGAACGGAAAAACATTTAAAATAAGTAAGATCAGAGAAAACACAGACATCCATTACAGCTACTTGGAATATTTTAAATGATTTTTTGATCTTAGGAAAATTTTTTTGTCTTTAATCATTATTACGTGATCTCACAGATCATACTATTTTCATACTTGCTAGAAATTTCATTTCGGCAAAAGAATCATAAAGTTTTCTATTTTAGAACTAATAATCTGCATTTTTATGAGTAAAACATTGGCCTCTGAAACTGTCTTGTGATGAAAGAGTACCATTAGTTTCATCTTAGTGGTTATGGATTAGAGGTGTTTAAAACACAAAGAAATTTTTTTTAAACATTAAAAAAATATTCTTATCAACAAAGTTTTCATTTAACTATACCACATATTTAAACAATGAAATATAAAGATGACTACAGATTACTTCATTTGCATTAACTAATGCTATCAATATAATATTTTTAAAAATTATTTATGCCATAAATTTAAACAAAAATATTGCATACATGTAACTAAAAATGTATTTATTGTCTTTTGTCTTCACAACACTGGCTAGATGCCTAGCTAGGAACTAAATAACACACTAAAGGTGTGGAAATGAATCATATCCTGGAGTTCCTATTACAGAGCATCATAATAACTCGAGGAATTTAATGATCCACAGGTTTGGTGCGACTTGATGGTTAAAACACATATTTATATTTATTGTTTTACAATAGCTTACTTCAGATCAGAAAAAAAAAAGGGCCATTTGAATATGAAAAAAATCACTTGCAAATGCTTCTATAACCAAATGCTCATGTCTCAGGACTTGCGTGATAAAGAGTTTTCTGTTGAAAGAGTAAATTGATATGGAAAGTAATAAAATTGTGCCAAAGCTATGTGGATAGCTTTTATTGGTGACACAAGTGAAAGTCAAAAATGGCAGATGCTGAAGAAGATTGCATAAGTTATATGCACTCAAATCGCCTCTATTACTTTAATTTGATAAACTAAATCTATAGCTATGCACTCTATGTCTAATAAAATCAAAATTTTGATTAATAGACAGCATACTGATTCCATTTTGGCAGCTGACAGTCAAGAAAGGGGCATGGAAGAGACACAGACTGCTAAAACTTGCTTTTCCCATTACATGACAAACAGAATTCACATAATCCTCAGAGAATAATTTCCCTCAAATCCCATCACAAATGTGGATGCTATATACTATACTTATGACGTATTTTATTTGATGCCTTACTCTCCTACATTAATTTCCATATGGGCAGTGCTGGTATTATTGCAAGTTGAGAGTAATAGCCTTGAATCCTGATATGATATACTTTAACTTGAGTAGTATGATTATGCTGCACTAAATTATCTGTATTTTGTTACTGTATGGGTCTGAGCATCATTTCTGTCAATCTTTTCTTACTCACAACACCATTTAATTCAACTTGCAATGTGGGTAGCCCACAAAACATTATGCAGCATTTTACATTATCCATTTTGATTTATACATTGTTTATGCGAGTTGTGGGAGGGGTCATCGACAGAAGTGGTTCAGTTTGGCATGCCTTCAAATTGTAATGGAAGCATATGTAACAGTGCAAATGCTGTGCTCAGTACTTCATATTAAGCAAGTTTATCATATCCATGTAATATCTGTTTCATCAGACAATGAATACCATTGTGGAGTTGCTCCTTCAAGAAAACTAATCAGTCAGCGAAAGTGGCAATGGTGCAAGACTGAATGCATCAAGAATAAAAACTGCATTCATTTAAAAAAAAAATTCCGATCACCTGAAAACCTCAAATACATTAGAACAGCCTTGGATAGAGTCCACATCAATCACAACGGCATCATTCTCAAGTCTTGAATGTTCCGATAGAAGCATGTGATGGATTTTACACCGTGAGTCCTGACTGTGTCCTGTGTAAATTGCAACTGTTCAGAAATTACGTTCTGCAGCTAAAGCATTTTGCATCTATTGTTACCAACAATTGGAGCAAATATATTACAATCATGATAACCTTGAGATATGCTTTTCCACAAGTGATAAAGCAATATTCTGTCAAAACAAACACTACCGATATAGGAAACCATGCCAACTCCACAAAGGATCATTATAAGGAATTTCAGCATATGTAATAACCAGCCTACCCAACTTTTTCAACGATGACAATCGTGTCTCTGTGATGATGAATGTAGAACATTATAACCACATTTTAGAAACGTTCTTCTTTCCAGATGTGGTCCACTGCAACATGAATATGACCAGACCATGGTTCCAGCAAGATGGTTCCTCAGCACAGCATTTAATGGACATCCTGCAAGCTGAACTTAAGAAGTGAACTTTCTCTCAGGTAAGTGACATTCAGTGACCCTCTGATTTCATAGATCTTATCATAACATTTTTAATAGAAGTATTTCAAAGTTCTAATTTTCACTCACATTCTACCTCACAGCCTCTCATTAACAGCCTTATAAATGCAATCTGTCAAAAGGACTGCATATGTTACACAGGAATTACATTACATCATGGAATGCACCTGGGAGATGGCAGTAATACCTTGACTGTCATCAATGACACCTCCAAGATGTTCTCCTCAAAAAGTAATGCCGTTTTTGTGATTCAACAGCAGGATTCGCCTAACCACATTCAGCTGGATTAAGTGCTGTGGAAAATAAATATGCTATCCTACAATGAAAATGCATAACATAAAATACCATACCTTATATATAATTAACATGGATTAAAACATGCAATTTTAATTTTCAGTATTACAACTACTACTTATTTGTACTAGATATGCAATTAAAGTCTTCAAATATGAACAGAACAGAACAAAAAGTGAATGCAAGAGCAATAAATCTAAAATTATAATCAAGTACAAATATTCCACTACAAGCTATTATCATTTATAAGCGAAAATCATCTACCGTTTTGAGAATTTTTTTACACTTGTATATATATTTTAACAAGGAAAAAAGGCACACATCAAAAAGGTTGATTCAATTCTGATGATATTCCATAAGTAAATATAAAATTAATTAAAAATTCAAAGCAAATATCCAATAGTAGTTTGCATAATATGGAAACATGTTTTGGAGTAGAGGCACCAAGAACAAAGCTTACATGCAACTAATAATTATAACAACAGACTAATCATAATTGGAAACTAACATCAGTAAGAAAATACCAACATTTAGCTATTGCAAGATGAATTTAGAGATGGGCGAGGTTGACAAAGCTGATTTAACATAAATCAGCTGAAAGAAATTACTTGGTATACTTACTCAGTCTATCACTCAATAATATAGACTGAAGGAAAGTGAAAGGTCAATGCTGCAAGAATCTGTGGAACGGAGAAGCTAGAATCCAGTGACATGTTCATGTTGAATAGAATTGTAGCTTTAGAACATCATGATAGAGCACTGAATCGCATGAACAGCAACAGTCATCTCAATTTTCCCAAACCATGACAATGCAGTCATCTACAATTACAAGTACAAACATTCATAACTCATGAAATCTTTCTTTTCCCAGAGATTAGAAATCAGCTATTATAAGCAACACTCATTATCTCATTCTGTTCAGTTAGTCATCAGACAGAAATCTGCTAGTCTCAACTAGATGTCAGAAGCTTTAAGCCTGGAGACAAAGTGGCCAGTGCATGAAATTTCCATTGTTGATGAACATACTAAATTTTTAACATGGAGAGTAAACTGCCTAAAATGCAATTTTCTATGAAGCCAGACATCTTTGGTAGTCTACCACTGACAACCAAGTTCATTCTTGTTCCTAAAGAAGAGGGACCTGTATTTAACCTCTCTCAAAATCAGGTTTTATTCAAACTTTATGTCAAATTAAAAATGGCTTTTTTTGCCCAGCTCTGAATTTTACAATGGCATGTTTCTATTCTATTTTGATTTACTTTACATGCCTAAGAAAACTGAAATCAAGATAAACAATTTTTATGTACTTTCTATATCCAAGCATTGTAATGCAAATCAGTTCCTCTTGAATCTACAAGAAAATTTCCATACTTTTATTAAAAAATTAATATTAGAGTTATTATGCTAAAATTAATTAAAATTAACAGTAAAAATTAATATTAGAAGTATTAACAAGAGTTGAAAGAATGAACTAAGGTTGAATTTTAATTACAAAACATTATTTTAACTTTTCGATATCCACTTTAAAAACTAATAAAATTAGACTTATCAGGACTTGGATTTATACGCATTCATTTCTTTACAAATACAGTATTAATACTGTACTAATACCGTATTAATTTATCTAACTTGACAAATTTTGGAAGATACAGCTGCCAGCAACAAAGTAATATGAAAATTAAAAATAAGAGTAAGCAGAGGTTTTTAAAAAATATCCAATGTTAAGAAACTCAAAGCTTTTGTTGCTCTAAGAAGTCTAGTTTGCTTTTTTATGAATATTCAATATCATATCTAGTAATTCCATTTTATAATAAAAAAGAAAGAAAACAAAAATATTGACAGTATGTATGCCCCCTAATATAAATATGGGAATAAATTCCTGACCCTTATTTGGCATGGCTCATTTACTAACAGGAAAGAATACAAAGGCAATGTAGCTATCTTTATTTCTATCTCATCAACAGCATTCTGAAGACTAGCTAGGATAAAACAGGTCTTTCGAGTAAGCAATAGTAAAGCCTTAAAGCATTTAAACTACAAAAGCCTATACGTAAAATATGCACACTGAGAAAAGCCCTATTTCACCACAAGAACTACTGCAAGCAATCACTGCTATGTTTTTCAAGCAAAATGTTCACTTACAGCAGGAGGAGAAAACTTCAAAGACTTCAACGGTATATCTTGAATTAGCTGAACTGGAAATTTGTTGGGCAATACCATCATAGCAGAAACTTGCTCATTAACTGCTTTTCTTAAAATGTCACTAACAAACAAAAGAAAAGAGCAAGCAAAATCAATGTAAATAAATAGGACACATACCTAATAAAATAAAAATGTCAGTGCAGCCCAAATGAATTTCTCAAAATTATGAAAGAATTATAGTAAAAAGATGTAGTAACAGAATAAAAATGCACATGCAGTTGTTTAAAATTAATACAATATATAGTCTAGACTGGACTTCCAAAACATATGCATAAAAATCGATTTTCAAATAAAAACAATTTAGAATTAAAATACAAACAATTTCATGCAAAAAGTAGGTGGTTTAACAAAAGGCTATTCCTCACATTTATTCATATTTCACATAGTATTAAATTTTCTTCTGCTTCCATTATTTTCAACTATCGTTCTTGTTCTTACAACACAGTTGCAAGTTTTAACATTTTTAAACTACTGTTTCATGACATGGTATTAAAATATAAAATACTTTTATACACTTTAAACTTTCAAAGTTATGAACACATCAATTTCAAATGTACTAAAATAAAATGATCAAATTCCTTCAATATACTTTCAGAAGTTCTCACCCTTCCACCCAAACGGTTAAGAAACCTTTAAGTCATTTCTAAAGCTATCTCTGAAAACATTTTAAAATAGTACAATGTTTCTGAATTTCAAATTTAAATTAACAAAATACATTTTATCTTTTTCACTTGCTAAAAATAATTGTAAAAACTTATTTACTGGTGTCTTATTTAAATTTTTTAGAGTTTCATATTGCTATCTTAGAACAAGAAGAGGTTCATACAATAAATTTCATACTTTTGGTTCCAAAATTATTTAAAACTTTACAGTACTGAGCATTTAAATTCTCAATAGTTCATCCCAGAGTCTATTTGCATTATGTACTGCATTATCTGTTTGCATGAAGTTTTGCAGACATGATCTATGAATTTTAAGTTTTGAAGACTAGAATAACTGCAGTTGATTCTTCAAAGTAAGCATCTAACAGAAAAAAAAATGCAATTCAGAAGTTTTAAAATATCACAAACTTAAAAATTATACAGTTATTTATTTTTTCTGCTGTATGCAACATAAACGTTTATATTATCTGCCAATTAAAGTGGCTAACAGCATAAGCAAATGTAATTAGTGATAAAATATTCACATTAGCTAAAATTAAACCTACGTTTGGTTTAATGGTATGTTACATCAATATGTTCACTAGTATCACATTATATCAACACATTTAATGCCTACTTTTCAAATGAAGATGCCCTCTTTAATAACTTCATAAATCATTACATTGACTTAAATTTATATCACATATGAACCTGCACACACTTACAAAACGAAAAATAACAGCAGCCAGCCTTTTATAAAGAGAAATCTAACCCAACCAACAATTTAAAAAGGTCTAAAATAAAATTCACAATTTCTGTCGCTTATTAACACTTTCAAAGAAACATCTTTAAAGCATTATTTGTCAAACAGTATGACATTAATTTATCCAAGTGTATGGGTGAATATTTTCTTTGTGATATTAAAAACAAAGGAAATGATTTAAAAGGAACTGAGCACACTTAACTCTTGCATTTTTTATTTCTTTTACATACATTAGCATGCTGAAATAATTACCCATAAAATAAAAGTACATTCATTTGCATGAAAAAAGACGAACAACAGCAACTACAGCCACCAAATTTAGAACACATAATCTTCCATCCAAACATGTACACTTTGAAGGTCAAATTTCAAATTCCTATTTCATATCGTGTATGAATTTAATGAATTTTTTATTGATAAAATCGTTGATTTAAAAACAAACAGAGGCAGTACTGTTTGAAATTTATCTCCAATGAGTCAGACTGTTGCCATTTGGAAAAACCTAGGATATTTGTCATTCAATTACAATCAATAAATTTATAAATATATTTTAAAAGCAACATATTGCCCCTGCCTGAAATAAAATACTGTTATCTTCTAAACACCAGGGTGCTAACATTCAGTAAAGCATAAAATATTTAGCTTTCATATTAAATGTCTCTTATTGAGTAACAAACTAAATTTAAAAGCACTAAATGCAGTTCTTAATAATATTTTTTTTCTCTTTTTAAGTCTGATTTAAATTAAAAAAACGCATTTAAATCATGAGATGTCTGACTAGAAACATTTAAACATTTTTTATGAAATTATAATAGCTGGACTGATTAATATCATTATATATGTATGAAATTTTTTAATATTTTGGCAATATTTTGGAAACAGTGCTACTCTCAAAATGTTCAAAAGTGACATATTCCATGTCTGCAGTTTTTGAAGTTTAATGACACATTACTACATTCAAAGGAAACATTTATGAAACCATTCATTTTCAGAGTATTCTTAACTACATATATGCTTCTGATCATTTAGAATCTGATTTTCATATACGACCATCTCGAGAATTAATCCTAAACAGTTCTAACAACATATATCTAAAATATGGCCTTGATATTAAAATATTAACAAATCTGAATACCAACTAAGCTGTTAAGAGAAATGAAAATAACTGTACTACTCATAAGTAAAATATCCAATAATCAGCATTAATACAAAAGATTTAAAGCAAATAAATATTAACTAGAAGTTGATAAAGAAAATAAAAAAGTCTACAAGAGTAAAAAAGATATCTCATTTACATTTTGTTACAGATGTACTCTCATTAGTTTCACTACAAGCCTAAGTGCATAGCATAACTAGATTTTCAGTGAAAAGATATACAAGGGTTCATACACATTTCCTTACATGAAAATTAAGGACTTTTAAGGACCATCAAAGAAAAAATTAAGAACCTATCAGCAAAAAAAAAAAAAAAAGACGAATAGAATAAAGCAATTATGCATTTAAGAAACTAACAGAAGTGTGTATTATGCACTATTATAAAATTCAATTTAATACTTACCATAAAACAATTTTGAAAATTAAACTAACTCCCTAGAAGTTATGAAGGCAGATAACATTAAATTAAGGAACATACTAAGATCTTGAAAAACATGTTAAGTGTATTTTACACTAATAACAGCCACACGTATTTTAGAGATTTACATGATTATTGTTTAACTTATTTTGATATTTATTCAAACACAGTCAACTACTATTATAATTGCAATATAAGAATATTTTGCAGATTAAAATAACAGATTTGTAAAACATACAATTTATTTCTTTGGTTTTTGAAAGATACTATAATAATAAACTATACAATAAAAGATACAAAACATTTATACTTGTTTTAAATCTGAAATTTTTTCAGATATTTTAACATCTAATTTATTTATGTCTATTTCCTATTCTTTAACTATTCTTCTAAGTTCATTTGCTTTGATAAACAAATCAATGTTCCTGCAGGTCTCGGCTTCATCTACTAAAAGCATCTATATTTAATGTCATCTATCTTTAATTAATATCTTTAATGTCCCTTTGAAAAAATTTTTTCTTCTGCTTCATATAATCAATTTTCTTCCTCAATAATTTTTCTTTTCCTCTTTGAATTTTCAGATTTAGTTAAAGATTTTTGTTCTTCTAAATACTGCATATATTTAGACCTTGCAGAAGCTGCTGCTGATCTCATTTCTTTATTAATTTCGATATTAAGAATGCCTCCAGAAAATTTTACGCAATCAAATACTGTGCGTTGAAAAATGTATGATGAGTCACTTAAATTTTCAATTTCAATTGCTTTATTTACAGAGAAGCCCCTTTCCACAGAGGCCTGTCCATGTGACAAGAATCATTTTCACTATTTTCCATACTTTTGAATAGTGAAAATCATGAAAATAAGAAGTGAGAAATGTGTCAAGAGAAAGATTTTGAGGATCAAAAGTAGAAAATTCATATAAATTTGTCTAAACTACTTTGTCTAGAATCTCTCCAAACTGCAGCAAAATTTCATCACAATTATCTTGCAAAAAACGTTTATTCCACGTTAATACCGTTAGAACTATTTTCATTTTGTTCTGGGCTTTTTCTGGACTTCTAGCCATCAATTGTGGGTCTATACAAGATGCATTTCGAAAAAGAAAAAAATTTATTGGACATTTAGCCATTAAGTGTTGTACCATTGTTAAGACACATTGTTGACTTCTAGTTTCAATGCAAAACTTGCAGCTTGTGAATTGTCCTTCTTGTGGCATTTATCATTCATTAACTGCTCAGCAATGAATCCCAAATAAATACTTTTATCATTATAACAATTTGGATCATTAAAATTTATAAAGATTTTTCTGCTTTAGTTATTTTTGAATATTCTAGTTTCAAAATTTTAAAGTGCTGAAGTCAAGCATTTACAAGTTTTAAGATATCTTCAGCAAGAAAGGGAATAAGTGGTTTATCGCTTTAATAATATTCAAAGAAAGGCAATAATATTTTCGACAGAGAGGGAAAAAAATTTAATTTTATAAGAAATGTTTTATCCTTAGTTGCCTCCAAAATATTCGAGAAGGATTTCAATGAATTTTTTTTTAAACTGCCCCATTTCAACTTTTTTAATGTATAGTAGCAAGTCATCCCATATTTCAATGGCTCTTTCAACTGCAGGGACATTTTGCAACCATCGGTAAAAGCAGAACTTCACAGCAGAAAATTTTAATTAAAACATTATTTCTTTATCTATCAGATGATGGCGCAAAGATAAAAATTCTGCAATAATTGGTTTTATTGTTAAACAAAAATGTATGAACTTTTCTTACGCATTATATTTTAACACTTAAAAAATGTACTATATCAATAAAAAATTGTGACATCGCGAAATATTCTAGGCAAGCATTGCTGCAGAGATTCCATCACATCGCCAAAATTGCCATAAGAATGCTATATTGGCAATATCATGAACACGTTTTCTCCGTGTTGCAACCATTCTGCTTATCGGTCATTTTCATTTAATTTATTAATCTTCCATTTCTTTTATTTTTTCCTTATCATTTCAACACTGACTTTTTATTCAGGATTTAGCTTTTATTTTAATTTCTAGTTATAAATAGATGAAATTAGCTTAATAACAAAAGATAATTTCAATCATTATCACAATGAAATTTTATATCGACCAACTATTTGGATAACTGATGCAATATTCAAACTCAATAACATTCTTCTGAAAGCAGTATTCCTTTTATAAAAATACTTGGTAAAATTCTAGTATACGGTGCAGGCCTTGGCGCAATTTTGAAAATTATCGCCAACACCAAAATGACCCATTTAACTACTCATCGTATATGTCCCATTTACTGTTCATCATAAAGTCACCAAAAGTAGCCAAATCCCTTATGCAACGGATACCTAGTGCATAGGATTAAACCAAATACTTCATTGTCTATTGAAGCTTCCAAACGTATTTCCGAACTTCACTTTTTTTCGGCTAGAGTTACCGAATTTGCCCTTGGAGACATAAATCGAAATGGAGCCAGCAGATTTCCCGCAAAATCGATAACAGACCCTCTGTAGAAATAAACTCATAATCCCAATATCCCATACATATATGTGCAAAAGAGAATAAACTCCGTAGAAGGTGATCAAAAACTAATTTATGGCTTAATTCAAACAAACACAGAAATTAAGGTAAGCAAAACCGTGTATGTAAAAAACAAAATTGAAATGATAAAACGAAACTTAGCTTTCATGTGAATTTTCAGCGCTGACTCTCCCATTCCAGAGAAATTTTCAATTTGTTTCAGACAAAGAACCACATTTAGCTTTATAAGGATTGTCATCCATCAATATCCAGTCTTTGTAGTCCAGCCTTGATGAAGCCACAGTTTATTGAAAATGCACTTTCCAGGCATCTCGTTCCTATTGGCGTCGGAGGGGTTGTGGCCTTCCAGGTTGGGATTGTTCTAATTTTGGTAAATATTTTCAGAATCCCCCTTTTTTTTTTCCTCGAGCACCTTCATCATCACTTTCGGCTCTTAAAGAACTTCCGGCTTCACGCTTTCATCACAATCTGCCTAAATTTATGGATAACACCTGTTTCGAAAAATTGGGTGAATAGCCAATCGGACACCCGATACTTTCGTCCTAGGGTAGCTAATTGTTTTTTTATCGTTCGCAATGCAAATCCACCAACAGATTGGTTAAGAGCCATGTAATTTTAATTCCATATTCATAAGAAATCGCAATTCACACTTAGAATGGCAATCATTAGAAATGATAAGAAATGTCAAATGAGCAAAATTAAGGACCGTTTATTCATTTTGACTAAAATTACGGACTTTTAAGGACCAAAAATCATTTTTGAAAAATTTAAGGACTTTTAAGGACCGTATGAACCCTGATATATTTTAAAATTCTAATGGCTGCTGGCTAATTCTTTGACAAGTAGTATGATAGTGAAAAATGTTTTACACAGGTTTTATACAGTGCTGAAGAAAATCAGATAAAACATTCGGCAAGATAAAAATAGAACATTCAACGCTATAAAAATACAGTAAAAAGGATTAAATTTTTCCATTATATAAAATGTATTCTTTAAAGAAAATAAAGATGATTTAAATAAAAAAAAAATCTCATTAAAAGTGGTTTATGATAAACTTTTTCAATAGTCTAGTTAATGAGATTCCACTGTAATAAATAATTAATTTTTATATATGACATAATTTATTTAGATGATAGAGGTAGTACTGACAACTTTATTTTGCATTTAAAGATCAAATTAAAACATCTACCAGAACAAGAAAGAACTCTACCATCTAAATAATTAAACTACAGATAAAAAACTCTTACCCAAGTCCAGGCATATCGAAAACATTAGCAACATTTGTCAAGTTGAAATCAATTCTCTAAAAAATGTAGAAAAGTACATTAATGAAATATTTATACTGGAGTTTAAGTATCAAAACACAGTAATACAGTACAAAGTCCGAGATCCGGATTCGTGAAGAATTCAGCGATTCCGGATTTGGTATTTTTCTGGATATTAGATCTAGTTTAAATCTAGTAAGATGGCATGCAGAAATTATAAATTTAAAAATATGAAATCGTTATTTATGATCTAAAGGGTATCAAAATTTACAAAAAAAAAAAAGGCTTAACATTTATTTGTTTACTTTATTAAACATTTCTTTCAAATCAAATTGTTTTAAGTTGCTTCATTTTCTTTTTTGTGCTAATACTTTTTCTTTAATTCTGTAGACACACATAATTTCTTGTTCAGTTAATTACACTGCTGAAGTCCTATAATTGCTGTGTGGATAATTCCAACTAACTTGTCAATTGAAATTTTTGCATTTTCAATAACCTCTGTGTCACTTTCTTCACTATTGGTAGTGGTATTTTCTGGATCTAGAATGATACTACAGATTTTGCCATCCATTAATTGACTGGTTATTGAGGAGCATTGTCATCACAATAAAAAACTTCTTTTATATCATATGCATTTTATTACCACTTTTCCACATTTCTCTACAAAACCCATTAACCGGAAAATTTCACCTTTGGTTTGCGATATCTGAAAATCTTTAAAATTTGCTGCTATCATCATACAATTTAGCTATCTTGTTCAATATACATATTTGGCTATGTATCACTGGCGACTAGAGACAAGTTGTTCTATTAAAATTTATCTTGCTTCTGTTGTGCACTGAGACAATTAAGCCTGAACTGTATTAGTTATTTATTATACTTATGTCTATTTCTTGTATATGCTTAAGGCTTATCTGAGTCCTGAATAAATGAATTCCCATATATACTTATTGAGGGCTGGCGCTAGATATCTACTGCCTGATGCAGTCTCTGTGGGTCCTAAATTCTGCTACCAAGCGCCTTCTCTAAATTCTGCCACCTGGTGTGGTCATGCGAGCCCTAGTGCTGGTTCTGGGTTTATGTGAATAACAAGGTCAGTTATTCTTAATACAAATAGCAAAAAATATATCTTTTGGCCTATGAGTGTCATTAAGAAAATCTATTTTTAGCATACGGAAAGAAATTTTTGTGTTAAATTTTTCCTTGTCCACATTTCTTAGCGAATTTATCTTAAATCTGCAATCATCAGTAAGCATAATATCAACATAAAAGGCTACTATACTCTTTATTATTCAATTACTAACATAAAAAAATTTTTACATATTGTTACATGAGACATTACTTAAGTTGTCATATGATGATAAACATACGGTGATGAAAGCAAAATATAACAAATAATGATTTGCCAGTCTGGCATGAGGGACATAAAATATTAGTAGGTGGTAAAATCAACGATGCTATCTATGTAGAATGTTTCGGTTTGTGATGTATCTACAAGCAGATACTCAGCAACAGAGCCAAATTATCGATCATACAAATTAATGCTAAAATGATTGTTTCTTCAATAACGAGGCATTTTATTTAGTGCCAAAGAGAAATTAAGAATCAGAACTCTCCATGTGTTTTCTTATGTGCACGCGTAAAGCATACAAAAAAAGGTTGTTGGTGGCTTAGAGGTTTGTATTTTAGATCGTTCTGGATATTGGACATCCGGATCTCAAACTTTCACAAACTTTCAATATTTATCTCTACTATTAAATAATGAAGAATCTGCATGTATATATATATGTTCCTTACACTATGGAAAAACGATGGCACATTATAGCCACCAAATTTTGAATACACAGTCATGCACCCAAACATGTGCACTCTGAAGCCCAAATTTTGAATTTTTCTACTTACTTCATATTTTGTATGAATTTAATGAAATTTTTTTTATTAACAACTCAGTGATTTGAAAGTGAGCAGTGGCACACTGCTTGAAATAAACCATTTTTATCTAAAGCACACCAGACTATTGGCATTCAGCAAAATTAGAGATTATTTAAAAGCAATCTGTTGCCGCTACCTGAAATAAAATACTTTAATTTTTTACATGCCAGCATTTTGCCATTCAATAAAGCTAAAGATATTTAAAATCCAAACTGAATCTGTTATTGATCAACAAACCAAGTTATTTAACTTTCAAATTTATCTCTATTTAATAAATGCATTTAATTTAAGAATATTTTTCTACATTTTAATCTGATTTTAATAAAAATGCATTTAAATCAGAAGATGTCTAATTAGAAATATTTAATATTTTTATGAAATTACATGGACTGATTAATATCATTACTTTTTTCCCCCTGATAGCTATATCAAATGGCTGGCCACAATAGCAACTAGTTTTAAAAACGAAACAGAAATACAAAAAAACTGCATGAGGTACTGGTTGAAACGCAGTGGCATAGCTAAGGTGGGGCAAGGGGGTAAATCTGCCCCCAGGCACAGCATTGAGAGGGTGCTAAATTGTAATTAAGAATTTTTAGAATGAAATGTTTTTCATTCTTGGCAAACAGAAGGGGGCGCAAAATCTTCATTTGTCCCCGGGTTCTGAAAACCATAGCTACGCCTCTGTTGAAATACTTTCTAAATTTGATATTTATATAATTTTCCATTGTACATTTTAACAAAGAACTGTCACCAAACAATGTGATTTACTGCCAGTAATGAACAAGCATGATCTTACAACACAATTATAAGATTTTCACCATGGTTTTATATAATCTGATTGATTTTTGACTGGTCAAACTTAAGTATTCTACCCGCTTCACTTTTGATCTACATTTGTTTTGGATTCTTGGAAGGCCTACAAAACTAATGAATTATGACCTGCAGAATGTACACATATAAAGTTAAACCTCAATACAATTTTGTAAATCCCATTACTGGTGCACATATCAAAACAATGAAAGACACTGTGTTTGGCAAAATGGTATAATAAAATATATCACAGAACCATACCACTTAAATTCATATTTTATTTAAGTGGCACCAAGTTCACAAAGATGATGATTGCTTTTGTTGCTGTTTTAAATGCCATTAAGTATTTTGGGCCACCACAATGACTGAGGCAAGTTTTAATGAATCTTTTGTCGAATAATCTAGGTTGAGCTAATATTTATCAATTTTTATTTCTATGCTGTATCCATAATTTGCATCTATGTTATATAACTACAGAAAGAATGACCCCTGATTATCAAACTAAATAAAGAGCCATTTATTCCTCCAAAGTTCTAACAGAATGACTGGTGCAAATTTGGCAGATTCTCTGCATTTATTGGTTATTAGAAAAATATATAAGTGTTGTATATTAATACCAAACATATTTGCCACACTATAGGTATAAATTTTTAATCTAGAATCTAAGATTATTGTTTAATTTCAGATCTATATATCTGGAGTCCAGTTACAGCACTTTTCTTTTCAAGCAAGATCGACATTTCAGCTTATGTTTACTCCAGCACTTAATTGAATTCTGATCTCCCTTTACCATGTATTTCAATCTTGAATATCTGTATCAAATATCATTTCTGACTGCAAAAACTATTTTAAAATCAAGCCATTCTAAAGCTTATTTAATTTAAATTTAAGGTCTTAAAACTTATTCAAAGCAACAAAAAAATTTTTAAGCCACCTAATTATTGATGCAGACATGTACAATGAATTTATCTATTCACAGAGAAAGTACAAAATTCCAATATGATTTTCTTTTAAAAAAGTAACCTTGAATTCATAAAAAATCATGTTTTCTTCTGCTTATTTTGGCCATTAGTAGAGGTAGATTTACACATTAAATATCATAAAATTTTTAATCAGTAGTTTAGACTTTAGTTATTATTACCTAAATTGTACTTTAATTTTGTACACTAGTGTATTCACAAGATCTCTCCTTTTTCTTTTTCTCAGTTTAAGTTTTCTCAGCTTAATTTAAAAAAAAAAAAAAATACTGTAGCACGTATAGCACAGAACTGTAATCGTACGTATTCATTTATCTGTGATAACAGACATGTATGAGCGTCTGTACAAAATTTGAAGTAAAAATAATAAACTACCTTACACTTTTACAGCACAAAAAAATTCTTAATGATATTTACTTTTTTCTTTAAATCATTACTCCTAATAAGAAGTTCTGTACATTTCATAACCTATTTAAACTGTATTACCTCTTTTCTTACATGAAATGCAAAAGCAGGCAAAAGTAAAAAAGAATTGCTCACATCTATGATACCTGTCCATGCAAAACACACACACATACACACACAAAAAAAAAAAAAGAAAGAAAAAGAAAAAAGAAAGAAATTGAACAGAAAATTCTGAAGATATACTTACTGGTCGATTCAAGAAACATACAGTAACACCTCCAACCAGAGGAATAATTTTGACTAATGGTTTCATCACTAATCGCACCGTGCCATATATCTGAAAAAATTTAAACACTGTTGAAAGTCCTAATACAGAAGGAAGATGGAAGATAAGCACAGTATGCCAAACAAATAAAATAAAATGCAACTTGGAAGTTCCTACATTCTCATCATAATCTAAAATAATAAATCATTTGGGTAGTAGTTCAAGGGACATATATACACTCTCTCACGTTTGATACACAAGTTGTCTCCAGGTCTTTCGTAACACAGCTGCCCAGCATTTTACATATGACAAGGAAATCAAGTAACACGCACACACACAAAAAAAAAAAAAAAAAAAAGAAGCTAAAATAAGGATCATTATACTTCGGCAATTAAATCACATTATTTACTCACATGAAATAATTTAATTATATTTCATATCATAAAGTCATCTTAAGGCAAAATATAAGACTTCAGATACACTACATATGTATATATAACAGATCACTATTTTACCTGGAGGTCTTTAATGCCTGCCTTAATTTTTTTTACTCCAACTTGAATGTTACAATCTCCAGAATATCTTTAATGAATAACAGGAAAAATATATATATATTAGAAATTTTCTCAACACAGACATAAATGTAGAAGCATACATATTATTTACAGCATCATTTACCTTTATTTTCACCATTATATTTATGTTAATAACATATAACATAAGTGTTCTCCACTAAACTAAGGAAAAAACTTATAAAAGATTCACAAGTATTAAATAATGAAATATACAAATATATTAAGGAAGAAAACTTAATTTTCAAAACAACCACAGACACACAAAATGTTATTTCATGAAAACTTTAAATAAAACACAAAATCCAAAGGAAAAAAAAAAAAAATTATCAGAAAATACTAGAAACTAAATACAAAATCGTGTTTTTAAGATGCAGATTTATGATTACAGTATATAAGAAAAAGTTAAGAAGCTCCTGTTTGTTCAGAACTTGAGACAATAGCTCATTATCGCTCCCAGGACTAATAATTTTGCTTGAAATGGGATATCTGAGAACAGAAGCACGCCAACATTTAAAAAAAATCTGACAAGAAACTCAAAATCATACCCGATAAATGCATTATAAAACAGAAAAAAAAAGAGGCACCAAGAAAGAGTTATCCAATTGGGACAAAAATCGGTACATATGATGCACACTGCCCAAAAAAAAAACGGAATAGTTCTATATCTCCCGTTCTACTGGGCCGATTGACAAAATTCAACTCGTGTCCTTCATGTCTCGAAAGCGTGACTTAGGATATGTATTAGATTTATATATAACATTGTTCTGATATAGGTATTTTGACACAAAATCTGACTTTCTCTGAAATAAGATACCATTTTTTTGCCATATTTCGATTCTATGACTCTAATTAACGCCAGACTACCATGTTTTGTAAAAATCACACGAGTAGTTTTTAAAAAATTAGCTCTCAAAATTTTAGCTCCTCATTGTTAATTGAGTCTGGTATATATTTATTAATGTCTCTTCCTTTATTAAACTTATTTGATTCTTCCTTTCACATTTCAAAATTTAGGTTCATTCCAAATAAAATTCATCCATTTCGTATGATTTATTTTTAAAATTTGTATTTTTAAATAATTTTCACAAATTTTTCAAAAAAATTTTAATTATAATCTATAAAATTTTTTCCATCATCTTTAAGTAGACGTATTTCTAAGTATATCTGCAAAAATTAGTTTTTTATTCAAAATTTTCAAAGATATACATGAATTTATATATTGGTGAGTTTTGAAATTTAGCATATTTATTGAAAGCGATAAAACATCAAATGTGGTTTAGACACTTTGCTAAAATTATTTGGAAGTAGAAACAATATGACTTTTCCCCACTCATGCACAATGCAAAAAGGTACCTTTTTTTCCATTCCGGCATAATGGAAGGGAAAGGAAAATTGGTTGCCACATATTAAGAAGTTCGCTAAATGAAGTATTTTTGGCGAAAACTAAAAAAAATTGTGCCAAGATAAATTTTTGAATTTCTCCATGAATTTCGCACCACATTTTACAAAATTTAATATCTAAGCATAATTTGAGTCATAAAATCGAAATGTTGAAAAAAATTGGTATGTTATTTCAGAAAAAGGACCGATTTTGTATGAAAATACCTATGTTAGAACAATGCTTTATATAAATCTAATATATATCCTAAGTCGCGCTTTTGAGACATGGAAAATGCAATTTGAATTTTGTCAATCGGCCCAGTACAATGGAAAATATAGAACTGTCCCCCCCCCTTTTTTTTTTTGCACAATGTGCATGTACAGAAAAACAAATGATTACAATTTCAGAAAAATTGGATGTTTTATTGAAGTGAAAAAGCTTCACAAATTCAGCAAGTCAATAATGTGTAGTCCACCTTTGGCCCTTATGAAAACAGTTATTGACATTGATTGATAAGAGTTGGCGGATGTCCTCCTGCAGGATACTGTGTGCTGCATTAGATTGGCAAAATCCTGAGCTGGTTGGAGGGCCCTGGCTATAAAGCTCCAAACATTTTTAAAGGGGGAGAGACCCTGTAACCTTGCTGGCCATGGTAGTATTGGGCAAGCACGAAGACGAACAGTAGAAATTACTGAAGTGTGAGGGCAAGCATTATCTTGCTGAAATGTAAGCTCAGGATGGCATGATATGATGGACAACACAATGGGAAGTAGACACACGCAGTCATATATCGTCGATATACTGCTGCGCTGTAAGGATGTCGCAGACAACAACAAAAGGGGTCCTGCTATTAAATACCTCAGACCATCACTTCTGCTTGTCAAGCCATACTGCAGGCGACAGTCAGGTTGGTATTTCACCACTATTCGGGAAATCTCCAGACACGGCTTCAGTGGTCATTAGGGCTCGATTCGAAGCAGGATTCAACACTGAAGAAAATTCTACTCCAGTCAGCAACATTTTAGGTCAAATGCACCCAACACCAATGCAAACGGGCTTGTCAGTGTAGAGATGTCAATGGTAGTTGCCACAAAGGGTACCGTGATCTCAGACCTCTCTCTGAGCCGTCTATTAATGGTCCTTGTGGACATTGAAGCACCAGTTGCATGTAGCATTGATAATAATGATGAGTCTGGATTTCTGAGTGCTGCTCTGACTATTGATCGGTACTTACATTCTGTCGTCTCTCTATGCTGACCGCTTCCTTTTTGGCATTGTATTCAGCCACGGTTCATCCATTCCTTCCAAAATCATCTAATAATGGGATCACTCCTATGCAAATATCAATTAGACTAATGGCTACTTTGAGCCCAACTACAAGCCCTCTTTCAAATGCTGACATGTTTGCATCCTGTTTGTACACCTGTATGCGAGGCATAGTTACCGTCTACCTGAGTATGCGGAATGAAATTCACAAACAATATATGACCTGGAATCGAAATTTCTTTTCTTTAATATCCTGCGAGTTGCATTTAAGATGCATATTTAAGAATTTATTTGCATATTTAATTTGCATATTTAAGATGCACTGCAGCACCCAATGTTCATTCACTGGTTGCCAAACTTTTGGTTGCTATAAAATTTTCCATTTTCCATCGAAGTCCATATGCATATCAGTTTGTGTCCAATTAGCTTTACTCCTTCTTGGTGCACTTTTTTTTTTTTTTTTTTTTTTTTTTCCTTACACTGTACGTACTTCTGTATTAACACAATCACCTTGGTGCAATTTGGGGACTTTTACAAAGGAAGAGAATAATGATATAAGTCATCATTCAATTGAGTTGCAAAAATTCATTACATACATAAATATTATTACATGTCTTACATTATAATTAGGTATTTATACCAAAAATCTACCAATAAACCGACATATAAACTGGTCTTTATTTCTTTTCTTTGGAGGAAATTTCGTGACACGCTCGCTTTAACAATGGATTAAAAAAACAGTTCCCTCTATTTTGCTATAAAACATTGCATCCCTGGAGAAATTTTATAGCATTTTCTTCCATTGCAGGTACATTTTGCAACCGGATATTCTAAAATTGTGGCAAAAACAAATCATGATTTCCAAAAACAGTTGAAATACAACAAAATGAAGGCATATGAATATGCCATCATTACATGACTGAAGGATTGCTATGAATATGGTTGCCTGAAGAATGGTTACGGACATGGTTACCATACTTTGGCAGATTCTGAAAATTTGACTACTTCTAATGAGGTGGATGCAATAACACGCAAGTACAAAATATTTTTATCACTTTAATTTGTTGCAATATCTGCACTCACATATTTATTTGAGGCAGCATCTTACTAGCCCCTAATTATTGACTACTTCTGGTTAGAGATTATATAAATTTAGAGTATAAAACGAAAAAAAGAGGGTAAAAGGGCAAACTGATACACATAAACTGCATCTAGCTTCTCTAAGTTTTTCTTAGATTCTAATGAGAGTTCACAGAATAATACTCAATACAAAAATTTCGGGTTTTGCAAGCTACATTTATCCTACACTAGATAATATCTTGATAAAAAAAATAACAAGAAACCAGCTACAATATACTGCAATAAGTATGACATTGGTCAGAGCATAAAGTCTTGTGCTTTCAGATGCACTTTTTTTTAAGCCCGAAGGGGCAATTTGCCCAGAAGGGCTATTAATTTCATTTTGACATTTTGCATTGATTCACTATAAATTGTGAATCATTTTTAAATTGTTGCCACCAAATATTAGAGCTCTGTATTATATTTAAAGAAATTAAACAATGAAGAATTTGCATAAATGTATGCATGTTTCTCACATTGTGATAAAACAACAGTACCTAGAGCCATCAAATTTTGAATAACGTACATCTTTATCCGAATATGGGCATTTGGAAGCCCAAATTTGCAATTCGTTTTATTATCTATTTCATATTTCATAAAGCATTTATGAGTTTTTGACTAAGAAACTCAACAATTTCAAAACGAGCAATGGTAACACTGTGCGGGGGAGGGACATTTTTATCTCCAGTGTAAGAGACTGTATTGGAAATTCTAAAGATATGCTCTTTTAAATATGTTGTGATATTGCTGTTGAATTGAATTTTATGGTTTAAGGGTGAAGAATGGCATTTAATAAATAAAGGTAATATACAAAACGTTAAAAAAAAAAAAAAAAAACCTTTGGGCATAATATAAAATGTAAAAGCTTTCAGATTTTTTTTTTTTTTTTTTTTTTTTTTTTTTTTTTTTAAGTGAGAGCACAAACAATGATAAAATGATAAAAGGACAAGGACAACTACTTAAACCAGAGAAAGATGGAAGCATTAAAGCATAATGATGTACTATCACCACTATCCAATGAGGTAGCCTAAAAGGAATGAAATTTTAAAGAAAAAATAGAAAAAATAAGTAGAAAATTACATGTTTGATTAATCTCAGGATTCGAAAGCAACGTACAAAACTCTATGGCCTTTACTAGAAAATAGACTATTCTAAAAAACACACAAGGACTACCTGCCCAAGGGAAAGGGATGCTTTTGTGAAGAATTTTTTACAGGAAACTTACTCATAATCATGTTACCCATGGGGAAAATTATTAAAACTCTGAAGCTTCTAGCTCATCCCCACCTCAAATTTGAACCTGGGTCAAACTCCCACTGTTAAGCAGTCTTAAAGCTCAGCTCCTGGCAATTTTCAGCATTTAACTAAGGTCAAACAAAAAATTCCATTTATAGGATCAAATGAGAGAGGAAAAAAAAACAGATATAACACATAAAATGTAAGTTATGGAAGAATTCAATAAGAAATCAGCAAACTAAAGGAAAAGATTAAACATGAAATAACATTCAAATATTTAAAGATTTGCTATGCTTTTTAGAGGTCTCTCAAAATTTAAAAAATATGGTTCCCATATTACTACCTAAAACTTCACTTGAAAGTCCTAATCAGGACATTATTCACAATTAAAGGTATTTTCAGGAAGCTTTAAACAGAAGGCACTTTTTCTCAGCATTGACATGTTTTCTGCTTTCACAAGACTTTTTTGCAAGTTGCTTAATCATTGTTTCAGTTGCTAATTGTATAGGTAAATTTTTTTGCACAAATTAAATATAATGCAAACACTCAGCAAATCATGGAACATATACGCATGGAATTTGCAAGAGCATTCTTAAAGGAGAAGGGAAAGTCTTGACATCATCAAAATACTGACTGACTGCTGATGCCATTTCACGTGCACATGCGCACAGTATGAAAATAAACTCCCATGATAGTGATGAAGCACATTTACAGCATTTCTAGTAGTTCTTATGGTAGAAGGTATTGTACACACATTTCCAAAATTTAATAGATTTTTGGGTCTAGTACCAAAAGAATTACCATACATAAATTGTCAATTATAATTCTTGCCTTCTGGTCGCAAACATATTAAGTGCATGTTTTAGCATTAAAATATATAACATGGTTAACAGAAAAGAATAATTCAAATTATTTTTATAACAAGTGAAAATTCAGAAAGTAGAAGCAATATCTTTCAGCATCAGAACACAAAATAATAGTAACAACTTACCGAATCTCTAAATCCATGATAATCTCATTTCGAGAAACATTTTCTTGATAAACTTTAACTCCACCAATTCTGGGTGGCTAAGGATACATAAAAATATGAAAAGAATATATCTGAAGGCAAAAATATTCCAAGTAAATTAAAATTTATACTATTATTAAAAAACATTCATTAAATATATCTGTTATGAGAGATAAATTAAAAAATGTCATTTATATCTAGCTGTGTATGAATTCTAACTTTAAAAAAAAAAAAAAAAAAAAATACATATAGCTAAAATAAAAATAAATAAAGAAGATTATAGCTAAAATGTGACTTCACATAGCTAAATTACAAATTTGAGAAGCTATGATTCACACGAATAAATCAGTTAAGTTACAGAAACAAATTTTCAAATATAAGTATGGAAACATCCATAAATATTGATTCATGTTTTAATTAAAATTTTTAAGTCAGACACATAAGAATAACACTGCTCATTTAATAATTCATAGGCAATAGTAAGCATAATGTTGTAAAAAAAAGCAACTAAAATAGGTATCTAGAGTATGGGCTACTGTCTTTGGGGATTATATCCAGGACTGGTCCTCCAGGTTGAAGGTTGGGCATGAAGCTAACAACCTCACCCCGTAAACATCAATGTAGAATCAAAGGAAGAATTATCTGGACTGCCCTTGAGGAAGCAAGTTAGAACATAGGGATCTGAGATTTGGAACTTGGAATCTGCATTCACTTTATAGAAACAAGGAAGTTTCTGCTTCAACAAAATTAATGGATGATTATAAAATTGACCTGATGGCACTTCAGGAAATGAGATGGATTGGACAGGGAATTTATGATGGCACACATTACACTATATTTTATAGCTATGATCCTATGAAACATATTTGGCACAGGTCTCATTGTTCATAAGAGGATTGGACTTATTGTTATGGATTTTGAAGCCAAGTCTCCCAAATTATGCAGAATTAGATTGAAAGGTAGATTCTTTAATATAATTAATAGACATACGCTAACTGAACAGAAGGATGACTAGAAGAAGGATACTTTTTAAGAAAAGTCCATGTACTGCATTCTACCAACCCAAAATATGATATCAAGATACTGCTAGGAGATGCAAATGCCACGATAGGGAAAGAAAATAGGTTCAGACCTACCACTGGTGAGCAAACCCTACATCACGACTCAAAGGATAATAGGCAGAGACTGATATTTTTTTGCTATGGAACATGTTACAGAGGTGGCCTGTACTTGCTTTTCACACAAACATATTCCCAAAAAAGACCAGATTGTGACACCTTTAATCAGAATGCCTCATGCCTCAGACATATTGGATGTCAGATCATATAGTGGAGCGAATTTTGACTCGGACCACGACTTGGTAACGATGAAAAACAGAGCAAGAATTTCTCATGCCTGTAGAAATCAGGTGTTGAAATTAGACAAATTTAACTGTCCACTGTCAAAAGAGAAAGATATAAAGCAGAGATACCAGAATGAATTGGAAACACAATTAAAAAAGCTCTCATTGGAGGAACAGGAGTGTACAGATGAGAAATGGAATCTGTTAAAAAAATGACTTATTGAAACTGGCAACAGAAGCAGCAAAAAGAAGAGCAAAAAAGGGAATGAGTGATGACTGGTTTGGTCAACAATGCAGGGCTGCCACTGACGTCAAAAATAAAGTACATAAGAATAAGCTTCAAATAAAGCATACAGTATTTAGCTGTTGATGAATATAAATGTGGTAGAAAAAAAATGGGAAAAGGATCCACCGTGCTAAAAAGAGGAACTTTCATGAAAAATTTCTACAGGATGTTAAACATCTTAAAGGAGTAGGGGAAAGCAGAGCTTTTTTTCACAAAATCATTTGTGAAGAGAGAAATTTTCAAACCTAGAACAACACTGACTACAGAGAAAGACTTTCTATCTTAAGTGATTAGAATGACATTTTACAGAAATGGAGGAAACACCTGGATGAGCTACTGAAATCTGAACTATATGCAAAGAACAGTGAAATAACAAGCAGAAATCTAAGACTTAATCGATCCCCAAGCAGAAATCCAAGGCCTATTGATCTCCATCCTCTGGAAAACGTGAACCCTGCTGTAAGGAAATTAAAAAACAATAAATCTCCTGGGCCATACAATATTCCTTCAAAACTATTAAAAGCTGCAGGACCCAACTGCATTCTACTAATAAAGCGCTTAATTCAACTTCTTTGGGGAATTATCCTGGAAATCCTTAATTCTCTTGGGATTATGATACATTCCCAACAGAATGGGAACTTAGCACTCTCTTTTGATAAACAATGGAGATGGGCTAGATTACAGCAATTCTAGAGGAATTAGTCTTCTTTGTGCAGCCTATAAAATTCTTTCAACTACTCTTTTTAACAGACTTTTACCTTACATTGATAATGCAATCGGTGATTATCAAAGTGGCTTTAGGAGGGGAAGATCAACTATTGAGCAGATTTTTTAAAAATGCAGAGAATTTGGAATAGATACAATCAACCTTTTTATCAATTTCAAAACTGTGTACGAATGCTTGTTTCAAAACTGTGATGTAGGGAATTACTTACAGAAGCCATGTATGAACTAAATATTCCAGAAAAACTTATTGAACTTCCAACTTTTGACGCTTTAGGAAACCAAGAAACAAATTCATTTGCAACGTGACTTTATAAAACAACTTGAGGTTTCAAGAATGGAATAAGGGAGGATGCACTGGCATGCCTGCTTTAATATTGCACTTGAAAAAGTTATTAGAAATTCTAGAATAAATAATACAGGAAATATTTTTAATAAGATTATTCAATTACTGGCTTGTGCAGATGATATCCGCATTGCTGTCGTACTGATCCTGCTCTTTAACAGGTATTCATGGCACTGGAAAAAAGTGCGAAAAGATTTAACCTTGTGAACGAAAATAAATTTAAATATAGGCCTTGTTCAAAATCTGACTTAATACTTAGTCATATAGAAATTAGTAGCTATAAATTTGAAAAAGTTTACAGTTTTACTTATCTGGGAGCAGAGAAGAATTGTAAAAATGAGATTCCCTGCTTCAAATAGATGTTTTCATAGCCTGAGGAACAACTTAAAATCCAGCTTTCTCAAATTAAGAACTAAATTACTTCTTTACAAAAGACTTACAAAGATTTGTCCTAACTTGTCTTGATGATGAAGAAGCTTTGAGGGGTTGAAAGAGGGTTTTGAATTGCTTATTTGGCAGGCTCTGTGCGAATAGATCGTGGAGATCTAATTTAGAGCTATGCAAGATCTACAGACAACCTCACGCAGTAAAATTATTCAAACTATAGACTTATGGGCTGGTCATCTGGCCAGAATAAGAAAATCCTTTGGCAAAGCCCATAGGAACTGCAACTGGAGTTTAGAGCCCTGGTGAAATGGGTTGATAGTGTTGAAAACAACCAAAACATTCTAAAGGTCAAAAACTGGGAACAGTTGCCAAACGCAGAGATGCCTGGAGAAAACTTCTGAAGACGACCAGGACCCACCCTGGGCTGTCGACTTAATGAAGAAGAAACATAGTAATTAACTACTGTTAAGTAACGAGAACATTTTTTGGGGGGAAAGCAGAATAATCTCTCTTCTACAGCTTACTCCACAATTCCATAATTTTCTTTGGTAAACTTATAAAGTTAAAACTTATAAACTAAATAATACTAAAAGTAGCTTTCATATAAATAGTGCTTTCAAGGAATAACATTTTGTTAACATTAATAGTCCTTTTGACACAGATTTACAGTTCCTATAGCCATTCTAACATAGATTTTGCAGTTCCTAATGCCTCCTGAATTCGTCTAATGCCTCGACACTACGTTCTTAAACAACATTTGCAAGTTTTGCTTTCAACAGCAAACTTCCTCCAGCATACTTAATGCAAAAGTTTCTTATTGGAAGCATATTTTTTCCTCACTTCTTTCTGCACTTTAATATCTATCTGCACTTGAAATCCAAGATAATGCCTGCCAATGCAAAAATTAAACATCTTCTGTCTTCAATTAAATTATCCCAATTAATCCCATTTAAACTCAATCTGCCTCTAGTGAAGACAAAGTTCCTGAAAAATTAATATTTAAAATATTACTAAACAAAGTTCCACAGAAAAAATTAGGGAAATGTATGTGCAAAATTAACAGTACTGTAGTTTTAAATCATGAATATTTATGGAAAAAATGCTACATATACAAATGCCTGATCAAAAAACTTAACAGTATTCCATAATGTCATTTTCAACCTTGAGAAATTTCTTTTGAAATATTTTGAACATCCACAGACAAATGCCCTCACAGAGTGACACAAATTTATTCAGAACGGATGTACGGTACACTAATTGAAGAATTCCTTGGATATATTTTATTTTCATTAAATATTTCTTAACATCTTTAGTCTATTTTGGTAGTTTTCTCCCTTTTCCAGAGTTCGTACACATTTCTGCACGGAAATTAAGTACTTTTAAGGACCATTAATGAAAAAAAATTAAGGACCTATGAGCAAACGGGAACTGAATAAATTCAATTGAAGATATTATCTATGCCTGAATTTCACTTTTGTAATACTATCCTAAAAATAAAATAGATCCCTAAGTAGTACGCATTATTACTTAACATGAATTAATTAACATAACTGTTAATAAGTTTGAGAATAAAATAAACTAAGCAATTTATCAAGTAGCATTAACTATTTTACACTTATGATAGTTGGTCATATTTGAATGTTTATATTGATTTCCTTCTCTTTTAAGCATCTTTTCTAACAATTAGAGAGTTGTCTCAATATGCAAACCAATGCTCTCACTAGTTTCTGCGTGCTTCATCTCCTAACTTATCATCCCTAATGTACCTATGAGGGTTTAATTGATCTGGTAAAAGTTAAATAGTCCAAAACGCCCGACAGACGTGAAGTATATTATCGCTATGTCTGAAATTAACTACAATATCGGACAAAGGTTTAAATAAGCCTCTTATTTAAAAAGAACTTAGAACATAAAGGCATGTTCTGCCACTAACAAAATCAATTACAGCTCCTGGTGATGTAATTAAACAAGAACA